AATCATTAGCCAAATATACTATCAATAAAATCCTGGGTCACAAGTACTCACCTTAATATTTAAAAAAAAAAAAAAAACTAAAACTAAGTTATATACTATAGCTAACAAAGATGTCAGAGAAAAGCTTAAATGAAATATATCAACTAATAGTAAATTTGAAAAAACAGAAAAGTAACTTATAAAGAACATTAAAGAACTGCATAATAAAGCACAATGACCTTAGAAGCTGCAAAACACTATAACAAAAAATAGTAATAAAACAAGTAGATAGACTATTAGTAAAATTAAACAGACAAGACAGTCTAGGACAGCTAACATAACTAAAAATAACACAAAGTTGCCAAAAAGCAGACCTAACAAAAGATATATAGAAAGTAGTAGAGATACTAGAGAATATAGACAGTAGAGAAATAACTTGGCCTGTTTAATAATTTTAAAAACAAGAAAATTAAAAGTAAATATAAGAACAAAAAGCAATTTATGAACAATGTTTGGATATAACACCAAAATAAATGAATTTGTAAATACTGATTTATAAAAAAGAAGTAGAACTAAAGTAAATAAAAAAGGTTTAGTATATCTAAACCAGTTATTTGATACAAAAGAAGAAAGTTTAATTATATGACAACAGCTAAAAAACTATCAAGATCTATTAAGCAAAGGAAAAAAAACAGAGTAATTTAAAATAATTGTACTAAAAGTGTTTAGTAAACTAGAAAGCAGAGAAGTCAAAAGATGCTTTAGAACAAACAGGCAAAATACACAGACAATGCAAATTAAATAGAAAACTATATCAGAAAATAAGAAAAAAAAGAATAAATAGTATATGGTACACAAAATTATAAGTAATTGAAAAAGATAATTAAAAAAAAAAAGAAAAAATTACTAGTAAAAAACTGGCAAATGCAAAGCAAAAAAGATAAATTAGCAGTAGAATAAATAGATGTAAAGGTTGTCCAAGAATAGAAGAACAAATAAAAAATAGCTGCCAACAGTAAATTAAAGTAAACAACAAAATTAACATAGTTTCCAAGATGTTAATAAAGAGTGGCAATAACAAAATTAATATAACAATAAATCAAATAGTAGAAACAGTAAAGACAAATAAACCAGAAAATAAAGAACAAAAACTTGAAAAAATTAGAATAATAGAGAAGTTAAAAATAAAAATTACTAGGTGACAAAAGCTAAATAAGAACATCAATTAAGAAATAATAGAAATTTTAAGAAGAAATATAACAAGAAACAAGAATAAGTATATAATATACACAAATAATATAGCAAATATAAAGATCAAAGAAAATATAGTAACCAAAAATAAGATGAATATAGGATGAGTCCAACACAAGAATGACCAGAAAAGAAAATAGCATTAGGTCTAAAAGGATGGCAAACATTAATAATATCTAAACTAGCAGTAATATAAACAATAATCTTAACAATACCAAAGAGAAAACAATTAAAAATATATACAAACAGTAATACTATAATAAGAAATATTAGTAAAGGTTTAGAATAAATAAATATAAATAAAATTCTTAAAAAAAATCACAATATGGATAATGAAGATTAGAGACCTTATTCAATAAAAAACATTTAGTTAGAATTAGTTAAAGTAAAAAGTTACAGTAAAGATAAATAGAATAACAAAGCTGAAAGCCTAGTGAAAAAAGAAGCAAGAAGTAAAAAAATAGTTTAGGTCAAAAAAGTCAATTGTAAAGAGATAAAGTACTGCTTAGAGTGAGAAAACAAATAAACTGACATATTAGCAAAATTGTTATATAATTAATAATGAATACAAGATTAGAAGCAGAGTAAAAAAAAATAAGAGTAATTAAAGACTTAGAACCAGAATCAGAAGTTATGATTTATAATTAAACATATTTTGAAAAAGACTAAAGATAACTAAAGGAATATATTGTATAACAAAAAGAATTAGTACCAAAAGAAGTGTATTTATAAAATATATAATAGATAAACTTTTGATTTTAGAAGAATTTAATAAAAGAAGACCAGATATGTATATAACAACAAAATGCCAAGTATGTCAAAATAAAGTCAAGTATGCTTAACAATATGTAAAGAACAAAAAAATTTGTGAAAAAGAATTCAGAAAATGACTATTGTAACAGCCTAGAAAGGACTAAAAAAAGATAAAAAAAACTGATTTTTTTTTTCAGTATTAAGATAACCTCTTTGGTCTTAGCTTTTTATTAATACTTATTTCAGATATATGTTTTATACAAATATATCTATATTGAACTATCAGACAAATATACAACTAGCTATACGTATGTATAACTTTTTTATATTACTTATTTAAGAAGTCTGTCTAAGAGTTCCTTATCACTTACTATATTTAACACTTCTATTTAGATATTCTATTTAAACTCTTTGATCTGACTCTAGTATTAATTTTAGACTTAGATCTATTCCCTTTTAACTATAGAACTATAATCTTTAGACTATTTTTATCCTCAAAGCAAACTTACCAGAATGAGTCATATTCTCTTTTATCACTAACTTGGTTTAATGCTATGACTAAGTTCAATACTTGCAATCAAGGTTACTCTTTAAATTACTATTACATTTGTAAAGTTTATCTAAACTCTGGTATTTATCTTTTTGACTTCTTTTCTATCATTCTCTACTAGCTGCAACTTAGAACTAACTAACTTCTCAAACTTCTAATTCAGATGATCTGGTATAGTATACTTATATATTCTTTTCTTCTAGTAATTCTAACAACCTAGTTGGTCATATACTTTTCTATATATCTTTGTCATCTAGTTTATTTGACAGTTCTTATAAAGGTGTTTTATGAGCTTTCATCAATCTAATGACATTATTAAAAGTTTGTATTACCTCTTTATTCAGAATTTTTAAATAGGTTTCTATTACCTTAGTTTTTTAGCCTTCTATACCCAGTGATCTTATTATAAGTTTGCATTAAAGCCTTATATAACACTGGTTTTTTATATTCCTCTATATATATATAACATTATACTTTACATAGATACCTCAAGCTCCCAATGTCAAATAGAACCCAACTTGATGTATCTAAGATTACAAATACTTAAAACCCAACTAATCAGCAAAAGACAGTTACTATAACACATATATAATTTCCAAAATTTGTTGTCTGTAGGAATTGAACCTTAGACCAACCACTTGAGGGTTGACAACCTATCTACTTCACTAGGTCATTACACTTTAAAACTGAATTCTTTCATATGTATTATATATTGTGTTCTTTGAAAAAACAGAAACAAAAAAAATAAAAATAAAAAAAGTACTAATTAAAGACCTAATTTCAAAAGAAACATAGAATTAATTATACTAATTTTTAAACATAAAATCAAGACAATAATTTGCAAGTGTAATAGCAAATATAGCCTAGAATACATTTTATAAATAAGTATGAAAAGTTTGATATGAAAGGATTAATGAATAAAAGGAAAAAATAGGAATAACAAGTAGATTAAAAAGAGAAAAAGAAAAAAAGAAATTAAAACTAAGTAAAAGAAAAAAACAAATTAACAAAGAGTAAAAAAAAAGAAAGAAAGAACAAAAGAAAAAGAAAAACAAATCAAAACAGCAATATAGAAAAAAATTTTGGAACTTGTCATAGAAGAAAAAAGACCTATTTATTATAGACTTTAAGTAGTTAGACAAATAGCTTACTTCTGTTTAAAGTAATGCAACAGGTTGCACTTAGATATCAGTAAGATGATCAGGTAATGCTAGACTTAGTTGTTAAGGATATTTATGTAATTGCAATTGTAATTTCAAAATCTTAATAAAGTACTAACATGACTGCTTAAGAAAAAAAATTAAAAACAAAAACATAAGATTAAAGTAATAAAGTTAAAAAAGAATAAATAAATAAAATAAAAAATAAAAAACAAAAAGAATTAAAAAACTTAGCAAAACAGAAAATAAAATTAAAATATTGAAGTATAAAAAATACCAAACAAGATTTAAATAAACCTTAAAAAGCTGAAGCAAGACATTACTTAGTACTTCTAAAACTAGTAAAAAGCACTATTTAGAAAAATATAATAATAACTTATTCCAATTACTAATTTTCAAAATGAAGCAACAGTAATATTAAAGCAAAAACAATAATAAATTATAAGAAAAAAAGATTAATATTATAAAGTTATCTAAATTATACAAAATAAATAATTTTTATTGGTTAAATCAGATAATTATCATGTAATTTTATAAATAATATTTTAACATCCAATTTTTAAATATGTTTCTTGATAAACTTTAATTAATTTAATGATTTTACTATCATTGAATCAGAAAAACCCTATTCTACAACTTTTATTAGAAAAGCAAAACTAAAAAAATTTTAGTAAATTTTTTTAAAAAAAATTGTAATAAGTTTTATATATAATTTATAAATATTGTACTCAATTCTTAAATGTAAATAACCTACTTTACCACATGATCCATTTTCCTTCATACATTTTAAACATCAAACTATCTCCAAAGGATCTCTATCTATATTACTAGTCACCACATCAACAACCTCAGTTTCTCCGTCATTTTGTAATAAGTTTTCAAGATAAGGTTTAAGCACTTGGGAAAGATATCCCCTTTCTGTATTTGAGTGTTCACCTAATTGACGAAATCGTATTAACATTATTTACAAATATGTAAAATACCTTATAAAGAGAACTTACATAAGATGACGCTAGTGTTTTTACTCAATGCAGCAAGTACATCGTGATGTGACATTTCTCCAGTGAAATATAAGTCTGCTGTGGCCGGCGAAAGTACACTTGAACCTTTTTTATTTTTTAATCATTATATAAGTTTAAATAAAATAAGAATGACAAATTCAATACAAAGTTAACTATTATTTACCAGATCCTGCACAAATTCCAACAGTCGAAATCAATTCATTAGAGGTTGAACTATGACGTTCAGCCGTAGCTACTCTAACTTTATTATTTAACCCGAATTTCATTAATTTCATTAACTACAATAAAGAAATTGACAATTTTAAATAAGTAATGACTAAAATTAATCACCATACTGAATATTCAGATGTCGTTTAACTCGCTCTATAATTGTATAAAGAGGAGCAGGCTGTGCTAATGTAAATAGTCTTCCCAACCCAGCTGTTTCGTGACCTATTCGTAATCAACTAATTTTTAATTTTTGAAGCAAAAAAAAACATTTCAATTGAAAAAATAATAGACAATTTTGGGAGAGACCTAGAGGCGGATTTTCAGCCAGAGTTATAGGCCTAGAAGTTCCAGCTCCAAGTGCTTTTGATAGCCAATCATTCACTATTTAAAAAAGCAAATTATAGCATCTCATTTGGGAATATTTGACATATCCTAGTCTGATGCATACCACCACCAACACTAGAATCCACAGCAGTATGCGGACTAAACACTCCAATTCCTTTCGCCACACATTTTAGTATTATAGCCTGTTTAATATCACTCAAATTCAAACGTTTGAAAGACCGGAAAATTGGTGGATGGTATGCTACTATTACACCAACTTTTGGGTCTGCTAAGGCCTCCTCTAGTACTGATGAGGTTAGATCGATTGTTAAAAATACTCGTGAAGAATCTGGACGTGGATATGGAGGTTCAACAAGTAGACCAACGTTATCCCAAGATGATTCTGCAAGTGATAGGGGAGCAATTTTTTCCAAAGCACGAATTACACGGGATAGTAAGATAGACATTATCGTTATGTGTAAAGTGATCAATCGATCAATTAATCGATTTTTTATATCATGTGACATTATCAGATGATTAACCAATCAAATCAAAGAAATGAACACGGATCCGCCCGACTAGACGGAATGCCTCGGAATTGTGCTAATTAATGATGAACGATTAGTTTGAAAGATCGATTTTTAAAACTAACGATTTGGAACACTAGTTAAGGTGTGTACTAGTGTTGGCAGACGAAACTTAAAGGTTTCACCACAGACGAAAGGCGAAGCTAGTTTCGACTTTTGACAAAAAAAATTAAAATGCCGAAATGACGAAACTAGTAACAGTTGGCGAAACTGGAAAAAGATAGCAAAGATAGTAAAGTTAATAAAATAGTTATTCTGCATTTTAATAATATTAATAAATCAAATATAGTAATTATATTATTATTTTATATATTAACAAAATTCTTAACAATTAGTTAATATAAATAAAATAGAATAATAAATATTTATAAATTTACTTACATTAATAAATACTTACAATTAATTTATCAAAGTCTTATTTTACTCTAACATTTAATTTACCAATAAGCTTAATTATTAATAAAATTTTTAAAAATTATATTAACATTAACTCAATTCTATATCTGATTTACCATTTCGCGGTCCCCCTACGTATAAATTTTCACCGAATGTCTTAATATTAATAATAGTGTAAATTTTACAGTTTATATTTTATACAATCCATGCTAATACCTTATTGATAACAATAAATGACAGCCAAAATCAAAAATGTCAGACAAAAGCAAGTGAATATTCTAAACAGGGTAGTGGTTTAGACCGCGAAATACGGTAATAGTAATAGCCAGAATTACTTTGTTGGCAAAATATCTGTTAGTAAAATAAATGATTGATAAACAACCAGTAAACTAAATTGTCAATAAAATAAACAGAACCCATAACATGTTTTGTTGAAAAAAATATTGGACTTATAGAGTCCAAAATGTTGTATTTCAAAAAGATAAACTTTGAAAAAATAAACAACAATAGTATCCATGACACTAGGGTTGGAGGCATGGCATATATCTTATAGTAATTAGCTTTAATTCTAATTGACCAATTATATAATAACTCTATATCATATAATAGAGGCATGCCTCTCAACTATACATTTGGCCGAAATGTTTCGAATATTTCGGCCACTTGGCAAATGTTCAAAGCGAAGTTATCAATAATTTCTAAATATGATAGAAATTAGGCTTCATATACTGTATGTTAAGCCAGATCCGCAGAACTTTATGAAAGCCCTTTTCACATTTCGGTTAGACCTTTTGGTATTTCGGCAGGCTCTGGAATTTTTGAAAATCCGTACTTACAGCTGTTATTATTATTGGGACACCTTGCGAAAAATTAACCGAGTGATTATTCTGCCGATTCGATAATTATTGATTTCAGCATGATCAATGTAACGTTTATTATTTGCGAAGATGTCTAAAACCAGGTACGTACGTATGTAGATTTGCAATGACAATTAGTAATCGATAATGATCATATAACCAATATCGATATAACTCTGGTTAAGTATTATACTTTCGAAGCATATTAAGTCGAAGAAAATTTAGAAGGGTTATAAATTCGAACAACCAATAGAGGGTTTCAAAGTTAACGTGCGGGAATCTAATTTTGACAGAAATAGATGACGTATTTATTTACAAATGAGCGATGTATCATAAATTTGAAATGATGATTTTTGTCTATTTATTTCATTTTCCAATTTTAATTTCAAAATGCGTCACTCATTTGCTAACGTTGAAAGACTTCCGCCACTTGTAAAAAATCTCGTCTATTAAACCTGTAAGATATAAAATATCTTAAGACTTTAATAGAAAAAAAGCTTAACTGATATTTGTATTAGAAATGGAACTTTAGTTAGGATGTGAAAGTAGAGATCATTTAAAGTCTTGTAGTTCCACGTGATTTTAATTTATAAATCGATTAGCACCTTCGTACGTACCAGACTTTAGACATTACATTGATCATGCCGAAATCAATAATTTATCGAATCGGCAGAATAACCATTCGGTTAATTTTTCATAAGGTTTCCCAGGAACAATGATAATATCTGTAATATACAGCCGAAATTCCAGAGTCTGCCGAAATACAAAAAGGGCCTGCATAAGGTTTTGCGGATCTGGCTTAACGTATGTGAAGCCTAACTTCTATCATATTTACAAATTATTGATAATTTTGCTTTGAACATTTACCAAGTGGCCGAAATGTTCGAAACATTTCGGCCACACGTATACTCGTCCCCAACTCTACATGACTTTGAAATACAACATGTGCTGTCATATGCAATTCTTTTTTGGTCAGTGATCTGAATTTTACTACATTTGATAATTACAGAATTATAAACCAAGAACATAACAATGATTGCCTTAAAGTTAGCCCTAAGATTTAGGGCAAGATAAAATAAAACATCGGGAAATAATTGCCAGTAATAATAATGTCAACGAACCATTACATATGTATAGTATTTAGTTAATGGGAAAAATCTCATCATTATAAAAATAAATTTATTTAACCATTTAGATAGGTTTATTTTACTTGAATAATATTTTTTACTTGAATAATATTAATATATAGATAAGCGCTACTAAAAGAAAACAAGATTTCTGGCATTGAATTTGAAGGCTGAATTTATTAACTTATAAGTTCCAAAAACCTAAAGGCTAGTTTTCTTTTAATAATACTTGAATACAAACGAAAAACTATCATTTTGTTTATTTCTTTTGCACATTTTTATATAAGCTACATTCTGTGCTTAATAAAAATATTTTGATTCACTAACATGGCTCAGTCTTTTTCAGAGCCTTAGAGGATTTGATATTCGCCGACATCAAAAACTTTCGAAACCTGATTATCATCAGTTGCAAGCAGCTAATTGATTATAATAGATAATTTCAAACAATTATTATCGCTGGTGGTATTGACAATCGATTTATTGCAGTTTGCAAAATTATGATCATTAAAAAACAAGCAATCACTGATTTCCGATTTCTTCACCATTTTTTTTGACTTTTAGATTAGACAAAATTTGCGCATTTATTATTTAGTAAAAATTTTATTTTTTTTTACATCAGGAAATTTTAAAATTAGATTATAATCGATTACAATTTAAGGATTTTTATAACCACCGTCAATTAAAATCGATTAGATTTTTATCGATTATAATTTATATAAAATCATTGTTATAGATTATAATCAACATCACTGTCGATTATAATCACTTAAAGCCAATCGATTATAGTCTATTAACTGTTTGCAACTGATGCACAGAAATAAAGTTGTATATTCATTATTTTGTGATATATTTGCAGAAATAGGAGTTGCGCATTAAAATATTCAGTCAAATTTTTACAAATGATAAATGCGCAAATTTTGTCTAATCTAAAAGTCAAAAAAATGTTGAAGAAATCGGAAATTAGTATCATTTCACATAATTTTGCAAACCGCTATAAATCAAATTAATAATAATCGATTATAATAAAAATCAATTAAAAGAGATTAAAAGTAAATCGATTATAATCAATAAAATCTCGATCGTATCTAGTCGGCGGTGGTGATGATCATCTAACTTTAATCGATTAAAATCGGGTCTCAAAATTTCCTGATGGAGTTTTGACCTTTCTCTGGGATTCAATTTTACCAGGAGTTTCGCCAGAGTTTCGCCGGGTTTAGTTTCGTCTTTTGCCATTTGCCAAAAATAGTTTCGCCTGCCAACACTAGTGTGTACAAGAATATTCAATTAAATTAATTAAATTACAAATGTAGAGAATAATAAATAATTTAATTTCAATAAACTTAAATTAATTTTGTAAAGTTGAAAATATGCCAAATTAGTTTGCTTTTTGATAAACATCCGTTTTTGAGGTAAAGTATATATCGTTTTTGCTTTATATTTTTTTTCAGCTGTCCGTCGTAACTTTGAATATAATCACTGCTTTACACTAAAACTTTTATAGAAGATACATTATATATTTAGCAATATTATGACATAAAAAAATAGATAAAAAAACATTCGCATTCAGTAGGTGTCCTAAATTGTCCTTCATGTAAATTTCAAACTCGGAAAGTGAAGAAATTCGATTTTTTGTCATCATTAGTTATTTTTGAGTGAGTCATTTGTGAAATAATCACCTTGAAGTAGTTTGCAGAAGAGATACACTCGCATAGATAACAATAAAATGATAATCAATTAGATCATTATAACTTTTCTTGGGGGATGGGGTTACTTTTTGATGCATTTGGGGTGAGTGGTTTATAAAATATCAACCAATCGCTTCTCACTAACAAAGAAATAAAAAAAAATTCTCATCATTTGTGTGCTCTACACGTGCTTACTCGTGATAATTAGCAAATCAAATTACAAAATTTTTAAAAAATTCATCGCTCTAATGCAAAACATACCCTAAAATTTCTATACTTTTTATTAACTTTTACTATAATCTTTTTGTTAGTTTTAGGGTATGTTTAGGTGAATCAAAAATGTATGTTTTGCATCTAGGATCACGCAATTCATGCAACGCAATCACGTTACATAACCCGAACCACACTACGAACTACCGGAGTACTATCGAATGTATCGAACCCACACAGTGTATTATATACTAGCAAATAATGATAAAGGCTTATACAAAGGAAAAATTTTAGCCAAAATTTTCGCAATAGATAGTCGTATGGTAGCTTCCGAAAGTTTGCAACATTTTTTAATCCAGATTAGCAAGATTGAATATTTAGATAAATTAGTAAGAAAAAAAAGGGTGTTTATTTTCACAATACAATAATAATGTGTTAAATTTCATGCTTTCTGTGTAATAATAACAGATTATGGAGGTTACATACTCAACCGGTTTGACCCGAGTTGTAAAATTTTGACCCGGTTGAACCGTTTTGACACGAGTGACCTGGTTTACTATAACCTGGTCCCAAACTCTATTATCGACCATATCTAGAAAAAAAAAAAGAAAGATTTAATTATAATGCCGTTAAACAAACGAGGATAATATAGGGAGACATACTTCTGAAATTCCCATTCTCTATTGTCTAAAGGGCAGACTTGACGAGTCTTCAGCCAACGGGATATACAATGAAAGTGAAACGCATGATTACACATTCCCCAAGCTCTGTTACAATTAATTTCCATCATATAGTTTTACGTTAAAATCAAAACTATTGATCATGAATGGAATTAAGACAAAAACCTACACTGTGCACTCCTCGCTAGTTGCAGAAGCTTGATTCGCTTGACATTCAATACCTTTTAAATTTAAGATCTGGTATTAATTATCAGCACTCTATTCTTTTTATCTTCAAAATTTGGCAATATCCGAAATGGGAATTTTTGTCTTGAAAATCAAGTTATGAAACATATAATTTACTATCTATCATAACTTGATTTTCAAGGCAAAACCCCCAAATGTTTTAATAAAATTAATCAAATTTACTTACACAGATCCATAATATGATTTCGGCAAATAGCGCAGTTATCAACTACAATATCTGTAGAAATAATTAATTTTAGCAAGCGAATATTAGTGAAAGATCATGTTTATTTTATGATGTAAAATCATTTTACCCCAAGCCCATAATGCTACGGCATTCCACTAAATAAAAAAAGGTTGTTAGAATATTTAATATTTCATTAAAAACTTTTCTTATAAATTCTTCACTTTCAAATTTTCTCGGACAAAAGACTCCGTAAACAATAAATCAGTTAATACCTTCTTAACTTCAAAGCGCTTCTTCGAGCTATCTTTAGCCTTGCCACTACCACTAGCTTTTGATCCAGCAGGCACGTCAATCTCCATCGGAGTGCCGTAATTGCTCATTTTTTACTTGTGTACTTAAGCTATTTGTAATTTGAGAAATAATTCTGCGTTCAAACTTTTTATATTGAAATAATCGGATCATGTGTAACTATAAATATAACCTACTATTAATGCTAACACGTGACCAGGAACTGTAGAAATTTGGAAAATTTTGGATTTTGGCCAGCATTACGAAATTAACATATAATATGTCATCAGTATTATAAATTCAAAAAATTTTATTCACGTAAACGCAAAAAAAATGTGCACATACAGTCAGACCTCCTTACAGTCACCTCCTATATAATCACAAATTCTTTTTTTTTTTTTAAATATTAACGGTGAGGCCATGCCTTTAACTTTATTGAAATTCAATTGAAGTTTTTACAAAG